GGTTTTTGTGGTGCTATACATGGGTGCGTACATCGACCTAACGGTGCGCCAATTGGGTTGGTTGTGAAATAGCATAAGCATTGACTGCACGTATTGGACGGCATCCCGATTGTCTGAGCGCTGGGAGAATACATGAAAGTCGGTAACCAATATTGATTTGACTAGATCTGGGTCACTTATGTCCAATATTGGTCTATTGCCCGAGTAATGTCTTTATTAAAAAAATAATAATTAAAAGTTCAATTAACTAAATCAATAAACCATTTACCCGTATATTTGTCCATATTTCTTAAACCAATTGTAATGTGCCTTGGTCATATTCATTACCAATTCAAGTTTATTGCCAAAATATGCTATAGGTGTTGGTCCAGGAATGCCCCTTTTTGACCAATAATTAAATTTTGAATTCCTTGTTGAATACCTAGCAATATTAAACAGCATAAATCATTTTAAACTAAATGTCTTATCGTTTTAAACAATAATTACTTATAAATGACAACAAAAATATTAATTATTATAATGCATTCTAAGACTGTAAAGATTTCCATTTTAAAATCCAAATTACTTTACTCAATTCAAATAACAAATGAAAGTTTATATTATTAAGTAATATTAAGCTTTTATAGTTTTAACTATTTTCAAATAAAGGTCTTTTTTCCTTAAATTAAATTTTTGCGTATTCATGCTCATGCGTAATTAAATTGACCTTTTCAAATAATAAAATTATTTTGGTATCCTGTTTATAAATCTGATAAAGTAATAATCTTAATTTAAAATTTAGTTATTAAATCATTCTTAACACATTAAAAATAAATCTATTTTACTAACAATAATATAATATTAATAGAAACTTTTAATATAATTTTAAATTCTATTTAATTAAAATTTTAACTACCGGTATTGATCATTTATATTGAAATATGCTTTTGTTTAATTTTCAAACTCATGGTAACATAGACAGTGCACTAGTAAAATATAATTACAAATTGTTTTTTGGTAGTTCCTGTTTCTAAAAATACATAAGAAATTAAAAATAAATTAAAATGCCCTTTAATTATATAATTTAAAATCCATTATGAATATAACACATTTATATCATATTAAATAATTTAGTACATTAATATATATTGAAACATGTTTTACTATAAATTTATATTTCTATATTTACTAGTAAATATTTCAATAATTTTTATTATTTTAATTCAAAAGTGCTGGTAGAATATGCTTTAAAAAATAACACAGTATTGCTCAGGGTTTTAAATAAATATCCATTTTTTGCATGCATTATTTGTTTGGTAATGTTAGCATTAGTAAACCAAATAGTTATTAAATAAATTTTTAAGAATTTTAAATGTTTAGTAATAGTGTTAAACAACCAAGATATATAAAAATTAATATTTTAAATAAAATCTAGTACTGTACTATAATATATTATGTTAATTTTTTACTAACATTTTAGCATTACTTTTAAATTGTCTTAATTTTACTATTTAAACTACTAGATTGTCTAATTATGTTTATATTAGTAAAAAAATTTAAAAATTATATATTTTAATAAATATAACCTGAAATAATTTTTTAAACATCAATTGTTTGTAATTTTTAATAATTTATTATATTTAATTTAAAGTTACTTAATTTTATATTAATTAAAATTAATTAAAATAATAATATCTTGTTTATTATATTTCAAAATATTAGAAAGTTTTATAATTAAAAGCGAAATTGCATATTCATGGTTATCTGAAAGTGAAACACTACCTTGTACAGTAATAACAGTATTTTTGTACTAACTTACTTTACATCTATTTTTCAATAATAATAATATTATGTTGAAATATAAATTTATATATCCTTATCACTGTTAATGTATTACATTATAATACTTTTATAATAATTCTATAAAGCATACATTAATCGCTATATAATATTATTAAAGCATTAACTTAAACTCAATTGTCTGAATTTAGTAATTTTATTTATATTTCACATATTTGTTCACTTATTTTATTTTAATAATTATATACAGTAATTTGTATTTTAAAAATAATTAAAATCAATTTTACTATTTGTGCCATTTATAATATAAATTTTATATTTATAATGGGTTTTATTTATATTACTCTAATATTCATACTGATATTTGTGTTTATAATCACACACAGGTAAGTTTTATACAATTTTAGCAATGCATACATTTCAATAATATTTTTATCTTATATTAGAAAGTATTCAAACACATTTAATTATTGGAGTAAGCAAGGTATACAGGGTCCAACACCAATTCCTATATTTGGAAACTATTTGCAAACATTTTTTACCTTAAGACATATTCGTGAACTAGAGTGGTCTAAAAGGTTTGGTAACATTTATGGGTAATTATATAATTATATATAACTAAACATAATCTGAACACTATATGAAAGCATTTATAACAAAACTTGTATCAGAAATATTTTATCTTATAAGCAACCTTTAAGTGTTATGGACTAAATTATAAAGGCTTTTTTTTTGTAAATAGCAAATATTGTATTATAATATTTAATCATTAATGAATTACAAAAGATTATAGTGTGCATTGTATTATCGTATAGTACAATATTTGCTATTTATAAAAACAATAAAAGCTTTTATAACATTACTTTAGTCAAAAGCACTGAAGTATAGGTTGTTTAAAAGACAAAATATTTTTGATATTATAAATTGTTTTAAAAAGATTTCATATTATCAAATATATCGGTTATTTAAAAAACCTATAGGCATTTCATGGGAACTATGCCGGTGCTAAATATCGCTGATCCCAAGTTAATAAAACTTATTTTAGTAAAGGATTTCCACTTGTTCACTGATCGTACTAAAGTATGGATTTCCCCTGATAATATTATGAGCAAAAATCTCCCTCAACTACACGGCAATCAATGGCGTAGAGTTCGTTCAATTATGAGTCCCTTATTTACGTCCGGAAAATTACGTAGATTTGAACCGAAAATAAAGGACTGCCTGGATAACTTTACAAAGCACATTGATAATTTATTAATGAGTAATAAGAGTATCAACGTGGATACACTGGAACTATTTAATAAGTTCACCTTGGACGTTATTGCACGTTGCGCGTTTGGTATTGAAATTAATATTTATGATCAATCGGGAAATAATTTATTTGTCGAAAACGCTCAGAAAAAGTTTATTTTCAGTGGTTATCGTGAGTTTATGACAATAATGTTACCAAGATCACTGCATCGTTTGTTGGGAATGTCCAATACTGATACAAATGATTATTTCGTGAATATTATTCGCAATGTTATTTCAAAGCGACGTCAAAACCCTGATGAAAGGCACGACGATTTTATTCAACTATTCCTGGAGGCACGGCTTATTGACGAATTGGATAAAGGTCAATATTTCTATTTCACTAACAAATAACTTATTTATCAAATAAGTTACTTTGGTTTATGATGTTTTTCAATATAAAAATTTGTTTTAAGTTTCCATACAGTATATAAATTAGTAATACAATAATCAAAATTTTTTTATATAGAAACCCAGGGACCAAATATGAAGTTCAAGAATAAACGTTTGACTGAAAATGAAATGATAGCCAATGCGTACGGATTCTTATTGGCTGGAAATCAGACCACTTGTATCGCACTGTCCTATTGTCTACACGAGTTGGCCCTCAATCCGGACGTCCAACAGAAACTCTGCGACGAGATAAACGGTGCCATCGATTCCGACGGACAGATACCATACGACAGTGTGTTGGCACGACTTCCCTATTTGGATGCCGTCTTATCGGAGACAATGCGCCGGCATTTAGCTGTTATGCCGATCTCACGGATCGCAGCCATTGACTACACACTTGGCGACACCGGTATCACCATTAAGGCCGGGCAACAAATTGAAATACCCATCTATTCCATACACAATTCGGATAAGTATTTTGTTGATCCCCATCGCTTTAACCCGGATAGGTTTTTAGTAGAAAATCGCCGTAACATTGAGCCATATACTTTTTTGCCATTCAGTAGCGGCTCAAGAAATTGCGTGGGAAAGCGATTCGCTATTTTGTCAATCAAGATGTCCCTTGCTCAATTGATTAGAAACTATCGCTTCAGTAGGTGTTCTGAAACTGATGACCAGATTCGGTACCAGAAATTCATTCACTTTATGCTTCCCGAGAGACTATTCGTTGGAATCGAAGCAAGAATTTAGTAATTAAATAGAAGCTCAAAATATAACCTACATATGGTAATCGTATTTAAAAGTCACCTATGTGTACATCTATTGTTTATTTTTATTGACTTTTAATGTTGAATTATATTAAATTTATTCTAGATACAATATTCAAATACCGTAGTTACACATTTATATCTGTAATGAAATGTATTCTTTAAAGATATTATTGAGATATTAAAGATATAAAGATGTATTATTTAAATATATTATGCCAATTTATTTAAATTATANTATATCTGTATTTTAAATATACAATGTATTTGTTTTTCTGAAATGTATTCTTTAAATAAATTATACCAATTAATTAAATTATATTAAAATTATTATTACATTTATCAAATTAAGATATAGTATAAATAATGAATTATAAAAGTGAGTAACATTCACAGTTAATAATATTATTAGAATTACAATATGAAATAATTTTGAATACATACAATTCGCTGGAAATAAATGTATCAAATAAATATAGACAGACATGACAAAAATAACACTGTATTTTAATTATATTAAAATTATCAACGATTAAATTTTAATTATTATTTATTGCACTATGTACTAAATTACAAACAAATACAATCAGAATGTAAGCTAATCTTGGTTAATGATCAAGAGTGCTGCTGCCATTTTAAGATAACATTATAATAGCCAGTGACTTACAAAATTTAGGGGCATGTACTAGTGTTAAAATTATAATAATGTTAAAATGTTATAATTTGTATTAAGTGGAAATCACTGATAACAACATAATATATCACTAACTAAATTAAAATAGCTAATAACATGGTCAATCAGATTAATTATAATTATCCCTTTTCTGAACTATTACGGACGCACTTATCGGAAGTGTTTGATGAATAAACTTCTCATATCTTATGGGAACGTCTGTTTGTGGGCATCGTAGGAATCGGTAGCGCAATACGATATGAGCAAGGGCCAATTTGATTTCGAATAGCGCGAAACGCATACCCACGCAATGTCGAGGTCCCGCCCCAAACGGCAAATACGTGTACGGCCTAATCAAGTGTTTTTGATCGGGCATAAATCTATCAGGGTCATATATGAAAGGATCATTATAATTCAGGTCCGAATGGTGTATGGCGTGCACTGGGATCTCAATCTGTTGTCCAGCTTTGATTATAATACCGGTATCACCTAGTTTACAGTCTTGGGTGCAATACCTCGCTAAAGGCACCGGAGCTGTATAGCGC